CTACTTAAGCCCAAACTTCCGTCCCTCCCATTCTCCTCCTTACCCTTTTTATTCTGATCCACTTGGTCCACGGTGGCTTCACTCTCCAGCATGCTCACCCCATTGGGACCACAGAACCCACAGCCCCAAAATTAGAATCCTCAATCAAAAAGAACAGAGCATCTCTATGTCTATCTCAGTCCCTGATAAAGGATTCTGCTCAGTAGGAGGCCAAGCCTGGCCAGCCTGGAGCTCGTGCTCACCCCAGTGACTGAGATTCTTGACCACCGGGCACACCAGGGCCAAGAGGAGCAGCTCTTATAGGGAAAGATGGTGGGCAAATAAGTGCTCACAGCCATTTCCTATTATTTACTCCATTTTCTCTGGGTCCTAGGCTGAAGAGATTCTTCAGGAATACTTGAAGTCCAAGGAGTCTGTGACTGACGCAATTCTTCAGACAGACCAGACTCTCTCAGAGAAGGAAAAGTTGATTGAAGGTGAGGAGCGAATCAAGAGACCGGGTAGCCCCAGAAGCCCATAAACTTCAAATAACTGGATGAACCTACAATCCTTGAACTATAGTAGGATGACATAAGATGCCTCTTTCTTGCTGAAGTCATTTCCGTGCCGGGTGTACGCAGTCAGTAGCAACAATGCCAGATCAGTGCACATGGAAGAAAGAAGCAATATGGTCACCCACATACATGTTTCTTTCTCCTTTGCCTCCTGACAGTGGAACGTGCGAAAGCGGAAGCAGCACAGGCTGCAACAAAAATGCTGGAGGAAATGCAAATAAAGAATCAGCAGATGATGGAACAAAAAGAAAAGAGTCATCAGGAACACGTGAGGCAGCTGACGGAGGCGATGGAGAAAGAAAGGGCGCAGCTGCGGGAAGAGCAAGAGAGAACCCTCTCTCTTAAACTTGAGGTAATTAACTGCATTGCTGCAAGGTTCCTGTTACTCTGTCTTCTCTCCCCTCTCCCTGATCACTAATTTGCCGTGGCAGTGAGGACACGAACCCCAGAAGAAGGACCTCGCTTGCTCACCTGTGCTTTTTAATCCCCATCTGTCTACCTGAACTGGCCCCTGTCAACGTCTGGTTATTAAAAGGTTTTGTGG